CTGCAGACCCGGCCCCTGCCCCTGCCCCAGGCCGACACTTCTCAGGGCTGGACGTGGGCGGGTGGCGGAGCCCGCCATGGCCGTGGCCATCGCCGCACGACGCCCGGCCGCGGGCGCTGCTGGCTCTTGGCCCTTCCACCCCGTTCCCGGCTGGCACGGCTCTTGCCATTGACCTCCCTCCCGCTTTGCAACCTTACACTCTCAGATTTCTATTCACTTTCATCTTGAAAGTCGCTACAGGACGTGAATATCGTGGCACGAGAGTCGAAGGGTGATCGGAGCGGGCAGACCGACACGCTGAACTCGCTGCCGCTTTGCAGATGGGAAAACGGGAGGAATATGAGTTTCAGGCTGTTACCTCATCCAGGGTGCTGTCTCTGGGAATGGCTCGAGTACAATTCTGTGGCAAATAAAAAAGCATTATATTCCAGTTCAGTTGTGAAAATAACTTCAGTTGCAAGAACACAGATGATCAGAAAACATTTTTCCCTCTCATTATTTCCCGTCTTTCACAAGCATTTACTATCATTTTAAGTATTTCCCAGAGAAAGCATACACTTTCAATGCCAAGACAGCCCAAAGGAATTTTTTTCAGGTGAGTTTGACCGACCAATAATGATAAAAGGGTAGTATAAGCACCTATACAAAGGATCTACAGAAAAGTGAAATAAACCTCATGTCTTTTGAATAGCTAAGGAAAAAAACTGTCTTCAATAGTGAGAGCTGTCTTTGAGTTAGTTTTGCAAATGGTATAAAACAGCTTAATATGTTGTCTAGATGAAGCAGTAGTATGATCTGGTAACTACATTCACTTTGACTGGAAATTAAAATTTGCGTAGTTGCCTGATAGAAGAAAAGGCAAAAGTACTTCTGTTGGAAAACTGGCTTTGATCCCTTTACACACCTGCAGTGTGGAACATACAGTTCCTGCATGGAGAATACAAGGCAAATCAGTTACTGATAGCATGAGCTGCTGTCTGACCGCTTGCAAAGGTTAAGGCACATGTAACATGATCTTTTCAAGACTCTATTTAGCAATTCAAGGAGCAAAGTAACATGAAGAGAAGCCTAGAAGTGCAATACTAAATAATTGCCTAAAATGGGCACAATTGCCCTCTTGCTTGCACCTAGGCAACCAAAGCAACTTTTAGATGATACACACATACAACTGCATTCATCCTGTGCGAACCCGTGTTGCAAATATCCTTTCATGTAGTGCTGATGCTGAAAAAAAAAGGCAGTAATCTAATTACTCATGCATAAATTGCCATAGTCTCTTAATTTGCTAACTAGCATAAAAACATTGAAGCCCTGTTGATATTGCAGTTTCAGTTGTGGTGGGGAGAACAGGGTCTCCTGTTTTCGTATACAGTATTCCCTCTTGCACATATGAAGGTAATTGGATTGTGCAGTGAGAGCACTCGTGGTAAAATTACTTGCTGGGAATAAATTCTTCCCAAAAGGAGTAGCTTGCTTTGTGCCAACCCCACAAGAGCAAAAGGAGAGGAAAGAACTGAGATGCTGAATCTGGGATGTATTGTTCTCTGGGTATATCATCATTTTACACTTCCTTGACTTCTGCCAATAATTTTGACCATATTGAGTTCTTTACAGAATTAGTTTTTCTGTTTTTGTCTTTTTTCCCTAAGACAGTTTAATGTGTAAGTATTTTTGATATTAATGCCAAGCAACAATTCATTCATACAGAATTATTTTCAGCTTTTAACAGCTATTCTTCATTATTTATGTAGAGAGTCTGATTTTTAAAGTAATATTTATTTTCAGTTCCATATCCCAGCTTCCCTATTCCAAAAAGATTACTTCTGGTGGCTCAGGTTAATTAAGAGCCCTTTTAAAAATTTCTCTCCAGGTTTCCTTTGAGGATATTAAAATAATTAATACCAAAGAAAATAATCATATTTTGAAATATGGCAAGTGCCCTTTCAGTGGAGATAATGAAACGCAAAGACTATGTTAAATAAGCTTGCCCAGGTGTTTCATTGGATGGAATAGATTTGTTTAAACATTTTCTTCTGTAGGAAGGATTAGGCTGCTTCACCATCTTTGTGCATCTCAATTCATCTCAGGGCTGATCAAATTTGCTGAGTGCATGTCTGCATTTTAAAGGGATTGTGTCATGTTAACAGAGTGTCTCTCTGAAAACAAAAATGCTTCCAGGCATCCAACATGCCTTAGCCTTAGAAGCACAGTCTGATTTAAAAAAAAAAAAAAAAAAAGAAAAAGGACAGCTGTTCATGGAGTTGATAAGTAGAGAGTTAGACAAAGAGAATTCACATTCATCCATTCATGTTGTAATGGTTATATTTGATATTTAGATTCAAACTAAAACCAAAATGAAGGAGTTTTAGAACTAGGACATTCACAGGCTCATTTTTTGTTTATTTAAACTGTGGAGGAAGGAGTGTCAACATCCTTCTGCTATACTGGCTATCTGTATCATAGACAGCAATATGTAACAGCCTCTTGAGGGGCACTGCTGTCCAGTCTGGAGAAGATAGGGAACAAATGAAACCTTCATTGTAATCGGAGCTAAAGGACTCAGTGATATATTGGGGAAAAGAGGATGATCACCACAAGTTTGGGAATGTGCTCCCTGTAAGGCGGAGCAGGTACAAGGACTGGGGTCTCCCACAACTCCATGAGAACACCCTACTTTTGGCCATCCTAGAGTGTGTGCATGTGTTTCTTGCCTATTTTAAAGACATGTATTTCATTACAGTGTGAAAAATATTGAAGAAGTATAAGCTCAGATCTTCACGTACCATGGGGTTTTGTAAGTTGGCCAGCGTAATACAGCACAACCTGCTCTCAAATGTGCTGACTTGTAAGAAAACGATAAGCTTAGAAATCTGGACACAAAATTTTAGAGGGTGCTTGTGCAGTGCCAATGCACAATAATCTAATAAAACATCATTATATCTCATTAATCAAGTAGATTTACTGGGGTGGGAGATAATGTTAGGAGATGTCTTTCCTAGCACTGTGCAGTATGTGTCGTTCCAAGCTCTGACACAATCATAGCTGCACTGTTACAGCTG